CTTCTAAATTCTACATCTGACGAGCTTTACCCGGTAACGTCGGCTGCACGGTCAAACTACCAATGTATGCCTTCTCAGCACACTTTATTGGTTGAACATCATGCGTCGAAATTAACTCCAAGGACTTCCATTCTTGAATCATCAAAGAAGCTATAATCCCATGTTGTCGACTAAGTGCATCAGCGACCACATTTCTTTTCCCCGGGTGGTAAAGGATCTCGAAATCATAACTACTAACGAATTCAACCCACCTCTGTTGCCTCATGTTCAACTTTTTTTGAGAAAAGAGATATTTGAGGCTCTTGTGATCTGTGTACAACTCAAAGTGCTCTCTAAACAAGTAGTGTCACCACACTTTTAACGCAAAAATAACTGCAACCAACTCTAGGTCATGAGTAGGGTATCGTCTCTCATGAGGTTTTGATTGTCGAGAAGCATAAGATACAACCTTCTGATGCTGCATCAACACACACCCTAACCCAATTTCACTTGCATCAGTAAACATTACTAACTTTTCCCTTTGTACTGGTATAGTTAACACCGGTGCTGTAGTCAACCGCTGCTTTAACTCTTGGAAAGCTTTCTCACAATTATCTGTCCATACAAACTTTACATTCTTGCGGGTCAACTTGGTCATGGGTACTGCAATAGTGGAAAACTTCTCTATAAATCTCCTATAATAACCGGCTAGTCCTAAAAAACTTCTAACCTCTGTAGGGTTCGTAGGCTGCTTCCATTCTTTGACCGCAACAACTTTCTCAGGATCTACCGCTATCCCTTGATTGGATACAACATGCCCAAAAAATCAAACTTCTTTCTCCCAAAAGTGACACTTACTAAACTTAGCGTATAACTATTGCTCCCTCAAAGTCCGCAATACAACTTTCAAGTGTTCTCTGTGTTCCTCCTCATTTTTATAATACACCAGGATATCATCTATGAAGATAACCACAAACTTGTCTAGATATGGTTAAAAAATTCTGTTCATCAAGTCCATAAAGTAGGCAGGAGCATTGGTCAAATCAAAAGGCATTACAGGAAATTTGTACAACCCATATCGGGTCCGAAAAGCTGTAAGCAGTATACTTTCCTCTGACACACCCATCTGATCGTAACTCGTTTTGAGATCAAACTGAGAGAAAATGGCTACCCTCTTCAATTGATCAAACAAGTCATCAATTCTAGGTAGCGGATACTTGTTCTTGATAGTCATCTTGTTTAGCTCTCTGTAATCTATGCACATACAGAGAGTGCTATCTTTCTTGGAGACAAAGATCACAGGTGCTCCCCATGGGGAGTTACTTGAACGAATGAACCCTTTTCTGAAGCATCTCTTCCAGCTATTTTTTCATCTCCACAAGCTCTTTAGGCGCCATTCTATATGCTGCCTTAGAAATTGGTGCAGTTCCTGGCACTAGGTCAATGCGAAATTCTACTACCCGTCGAGGAGGAGGTCCAGGTATCTCCTGAAATACATCCTCAAACTCACGTACCACATCTACCTCATTAATATCCTACTTAGGGATTTCTACCGAGCACAGAAACCTCGTCATCACCGACTCTTCTCCTTTGCTAGAAGTGTGGGTAAGCCGTGGCATACCGGGAATATCTATATTTACAATCTTTCCAGCATAATCTAGAGTTACAAAAGTATTTTCGCAGCCAATCCATACCCAAAATAATTGTAAACCCTTCAAACCCTAACACAATTAGGTCTGCATGCAAGACTTTATCCGCAAAGTCAATCTCAAAATCTTTACACATCTCATAAAGAGTAACTGCCTTTCCTAAAGGGGTCCCAACACGAATAGGTCTAGACAAGGAGGTAGTTACAATATGTTCTCTTTCTACAAACTGTCTAGATATAAAAGAATGAGAGGCACCAGTATAAAAAAGAACTCTAATGGGTTCTTGAAAGAGATTAAAAGTACCTTGCACTTTGTCAGTTCCTGGCATTACTGCAAATGCCCTGGCTGGAGCTGCCTGACCCTGTCGCGCCTGTTGTCTCTGAGGGCAATCCTTGATTACATGCCCCAACTGCTGACACCCAAAACACTTTCTATTGATCGGTTGAGGTGCTACTGCTCTGATAGGTGAGGGTCCCTCAAACTGAGGTACGGGAGGACGATAACCCAACTGTGGCACTTGCTGCCGCTATCCTTGATAACCCTATGGGCGCGGACCACCTTGTCTCTGAAAATAGTGCTCCTGGGGCTGGAAATTGCCCTGAGGCCGGAAATTACCCTGAGGTCTGAAATTTCCCTGATTACCCTGTTGTTGTGGCCTCTAAAACTGTTGACCCCTATGCCTTTGATCATAGGGTCGGTATCTGTTCCCATCCCGCTGCTGAAAGTGACTCCCTCTAGAAGTCTCTCCGACCTTGGCCTTCCCTTCTTTAAATTGCTTCTCTTTTTTCTCATACTTCAGTGCCAAGTCAAGAACTCTGTCAAACGGTTCATCATCAAAGGGACTAAGGGACTTAGGCAGGTAATGATTCAATCCCTTAATAAACTTCTCATTCTTCTTCTCCTGCGTGTTGACCAAATAAGGGGCATAAAGACAGGTAAGAATTCAATCCCTTAATAAACTTCTCATTCTTCTTCTCTTGCGTGTCAACCAGGTAAGGGGCATAACGAGACAACTCATTAAACTTGGTGACGTACTCGATCACTGTTCTACCCTCTTGAGTCAACTTCAAAAATTCATCACTCAATTGAGACTGAATAGTAGCAGGAACAAACTTCCGGTCAAAACGAGTCTTGAAAACTGCCCAAGTCAAAGTCGTCAAGTCTAGACCCTCCTTCTACGAGTTCCACCAAAATAGGGCAGCTCTCTCAAGCTGATGTGTCACTAACTCCTTTTTTTGGACCTCAGTGAGCTGCATACGACCAAATACCATCTCACATTTCTGAACTCAAGCGTCAGCTGCAATAGGTCCTCCATCTCCAGAGAATTTTTGACCTCCCAAAGAACCAAAGTCTTTGTTTCTCTTCGCAAAGGGATCTCCTTGCTGGCCTTGATTATTGTTCTGCACAACCTGAAGTAATTGAGCCATCATCTCCCCCACATTAACCTGCACCGTATTAGTTGCCTCGGTAACAGTCGCCGCTGTTGCTGCCGTTGCCGCTGTGTTAACAGCTGTTTCTTCCCCTATGCCATTGGACTCAGTGCTTCTCAAATTATACTTTTCAGCCATCACTTTCAAGTTAAACACACAAGAAGAATTCGTTCATGAATACTTAGAATAAATTCAACCACCAACCTAAACCAGCTAATCAATGTTTTCACAATCCGAGGATCACCTAAACTCTCAGAAGTCTAGGATAACCTAGAGCTCTGATAATAAACTTCCTTCTTTCTTTTCTTTTTTTTTTTTTTTTCTTCTATACCTCTTCTTTTTCTTCTTTTTTGATTACTCTCTCTCTCTCTCTATCTCTCTCTCTCTCTCTCTCTTTCTCTCTCTCTCCCTCTCTTCAATCTCCTCTCCGAAGCTGCTGATGGGAAAACTTCCACCAAAAAGTGATAAAAACCTAATTGACTACATAATATTATATATATATATATATGACACCTCTTTTTTTTTTTATATAACAAATATAAATATATAAATATTTAGATTAATTAAATAATACATTAAATTAACTAAATATCACATTAAATTTTCATGTGACCACACAATTAATAAATTCAAAAATAAAATAAGATAATAATAATAATAATAATAATAACAATAATAATAAATAATGACTTAAGAAAATTAGGGTCGCTACACCGCGAATGGCCCAAACTATAGGGGGATAAAGTGAAGTTTGTCCTTATTTTTATTTTTATTTTTAATCAGTATTAGATTATTTGGTATAATTTTTATATCAAAAAATAAATTGAAAAAAAATTAATTATGTGAAAAAAGTGGATTATTTTAAATCTTATTAACTTTTAACTCAAGAAATGACAAAAAAAAAAAAAACAAAAAGGCCATTGACCTGGAGGCCGGGCACTGGTTGGCAAGGTGTTAAGCTTAGGCCCGGATGGCATTGTGTAACCGTATGCTGGCCCAAATAATATGTAATGTTATACCTTCCTGATTATATATATAGAGTAGTGTAAAATATTGTTACGATTAAAATGTAATTAACTATAAAGTTATTGAGTTAAAATAAAATTTAAAATGTAATTGACTATAAATAGATGGGCTCTTTGGTTTTGGATTTTCAAATGAATTTTATAATTAGATTTTGATTTTTTTTTTGTCAAACTTGAAATTTTGTTTGGTTGTATATTTTAAAAATAATTTTTACAAATTTAAAATTTAAAATTTATTTGGTTTTGAAGTTTTCATCTTTTCCCTACTTTTCATTAACGATTCACCTCTAATCAACTCAATATTTAATTTTTCTAAATTGTTTTTAAGCATATGAATTTTGAGTGAGAATGATTACATCCACTTATGCAATATGACTATTAAACAATACTAATATCCCTCCTGATTACAGGCTTAAGCCACTAAGCTTGGCAATAATGCTTATTTTGCCTTCTTAAAAGACAACAAAAATAGAGTCTCTCTCTCAATGTAAAAACCCAACAAATCTGCCCCACTTCCAAACACATTTTTATGTTTCAAAACATGGTAAATCTCCACAATTTCTGACCTTTGTGTCATTGCCTCCTAAGCCACTTTTTCCTCACTTCCCCAATTCATGCTCTTTGCTTTTGAATGATATTTTGGAATACTTGTGTGTAACTATCTCCTTTCCCAATTGTCAATCCTTTAGGGCTGTAAAGCAAAACCCATGTGCCAATCCAAACCCACACTAATCCCAAAACAGTCCCACCATTACTGTTGTTGCTGGGACTATTTTTCTTTTTCCTTTTTCTTTATTTTTTCTCCCTATATAAAATAGCTAAACCCTATTGTTCTAACTTCACCCTTTTTTTTTTTTTTTTTTTTTTTTTTTTTCAAAAAACCTTTTTTTAAAAAGGGGGGGGGTTTTTTTTTTTTTTTTTTTTTTTTTCTTATGAAAAATTAAGAACCCGTTCTAGTAAAATTTCAAGATTTATAGCCTGACTGGGAGTGGGTTCTTCAAGATTTGATTGTTAATCCGAGTTACTGTACAAAAGTTTATTTTTCTCTGTTCATGGTAATTTTTGTTTTTGGGGTTTTGTGACTTCATATCGTTGTTGTTGGAAGAGAGTGCGTTTTGATTTCCCCCCAAGATGATCGACACTCTTACTCACATCAATAGCAGAAATGGGTTTTTGCTGAGAAGCTTCTTTCTTTCTAGCCATGGCCAAACCTACAGATCTATGTTTTTAAATTTTCACTTTCTCTAAGAATCGGGTTTTGAAAGTGGGTTTTCATTCTTTGGAATGAAAATTTATTTCTTTGAATAAAAAGAAAAGAAAAGAATATGGACTTCCATTTAGGATAAGATTAGGGATTGTTCACAGTTGCAGAGTGTTAGGGTTTTTGTTTGAAAAAAAAGATGATTCAGTTGTTGTTTTTGGTTCTGTTTGGTGAGGGTGTGGTGGCATTCCTTCTAATGGTGAAGATTGGGCCACTGAGGGAGCTGGTAATGAAGAGTTTGGATCAGGTGAAGATGGGAAAAGGTCCGGCCACTATTAAAACAGTTGCTGCTACTATGTCTGTGATCCTATTATCAAACTTCTTTAGCATTGTCAAGATTCAGAACAAGGGTGCCAAGCTTGGTACCATGACACCCATGGATCAGGTTCTCTGGAGGACCCATTTACTAGAAGCTTCTCTCATGGGTATGATACTAGTCTTTTTGGTTTCCCACATATCATTTTGCTTCTTTTTTCTTCTTCTTTCTTGGTGTGCAATATATTAGTCTGTTGATCCTGTGATTTCACTTTCTAAGTCAATTGCATTGATAGCTGTAATATATAGAGTTCCAAAACATTTTATATTTTTATGGTACAAAAACTTAATTCGTAGTAAGTTTGTGTTTTTGCTCACGGAGAGAGCGAGTTGAGGATATACATGATTGGTGGTCAACAATTTAACACTAAGAAACTTGCTAGCTGTTGAATAGGCATGTTTCACTTGATGGCAATATGTTATCTGTGAGGTTAGAAGGTTTAATGCCTGTTGGAAGGGGGTTAACCCCCAATGATCTCTGAATGATTATTCATTTGTTTAATTTGTAATGTGATGGGCATTAGAATTTAAACAATTAGAGCATTAAGTGCAAATATTGAAAGAAAATATATGTAGACGTAGTATATTTGACATTACTGGAATGATTCAGCTGAAAAATGAACATTTATCTTGTGTAGCTCATGTCCAAGATATCTCTTCTCTAGGACAATTTTAGTAATTTGCAAATTTAATCAAATTTGATATAGTTCCCCTTCCCTCTTCACAGTCACACTTTGATAAAATTCCAAAATTTTAGGTAGTGTTTGGTAGCAATATTATGCTGTATTGTGATTGTGTGTTGTAAATAAGTTTTCATGTTCGTAAATGTATTGCTTTTGTTTATAATCTTCAAGGACTCAATAATTTTATTACTGACATAAGAGACAATTTTAAAGTATGCAATAGTATTGGTACATGGTAACCAAATTAAAAAAGCAGCCTCTTTTAGAGTAAAAATTCTCATGGTCTCCTCATATGTAACAATAATATTCATGCACCTTGTATTCATGCTCTGTTCCCCATAAAAATGTCTTAGCAACTGGATGTACTTGACTGAAAACAGAATCAGATATTTCACCCAAAGACCTTAAAATATACTTTATACATCTAGAGGGAGACAAAAATTACCATAATTTAGATAAATTCTATTTAGTAGGTGATTTCCGTTTCTTAATATATGGAGCCTAAGTAACCAAGGCATGGACCAAATTGGTCACCGGCCCCTGCCCTGGTTTTAAATGTTTTAAAGTAGTTGAGCATTCAATTATACATTGATATTTTATGTATTCTTAACACGTAACATAGGCACCGGAAACACTTACCACTTGTTACAAGCATGTTTATGTGTGGCACCTATGATATGTGTGGCTCAAAAGCCTCTTGACGCAACAACTTCTCTCAAAACATACTCCAAACTCCAATGGTGGTCTTAGCATGCATTATCAGTCCTGTAAAGGAGTGCCCTGACTCCCAGTTTTAAGTCAAAGACTCGTATTGTACTACCCATCTCTCCACCACAAAGGCACCTCCAACACAAAGGCACCTCCAAGTGCATATGTTGTAACACTAGATCTATGGGTCAGGAGCAAGATCTAGGGAGCTTCTCAAGCTCTGCATGCTGTTTCTATATGACCTCAAGTGTTGCATTTCGCAATCCTTCTAGGGTTCTTGGTGCCTAGAATTAAGGGTTGCCTGAGGTCTGATTGTCATGATCTTGGGGTCACAAGTCTTTTGGTCAATCTTATAGAGAGAGGAACACGTGTGTTCTCCGAGCCACATGTAACATCATCCTCCAAGACATGTGTCAGCCTCTTCATTTACCTTGTCATGTGAGCTGGATCTTGCTGATGTTGTCTCTTGTTCTAAGTTGGTAAGTTCCTGCTTGCCTGTTGGAACCTATAGATGGCTATTTTGATTTGTTGCACTATTTCAGCAGCGAGTGCTTTGGATTCTGTGCGTTAATGTCCCTATGGAAAAGGCACTCCTGATTTTGTTGTGCTGACCTCTCTCTCTCTCTCTTTGGTTCTCACTAAAGTTTGAGCTCCTTAGATCCCATACTACCCTACATGTTATACTGTACGTCTAAACCATGGTTTTTAAAATGGGCCACAATGTAACTGTTACGTAACTGTATGGGTGGTTACCACCACTTGTTATGGCTGCTATAGTGGTATGTGTTATCCAAAAAGCAACCTGAGGGGGGTGAATTAGGTTTCTACAAATTAAAATTAACAATTCTCCAATAAAAGCTTACTAACTGGTAAAACAGATAAAAATCAAGCAAAGCTTAAAACAATAAGTGAAATGGCAGTGGATTAACTAACACAGAGAATATATCAATGGATATCAAATAGCTAACAGAATATGTTCTAGATAGTTTTAGTAATAAATTCTAGCAAACACAAACAATGGAATCAAATATACAGTTAGCTAGAGCAGTGGAGTAAAGAGATTAGGGAAGAGACCAAGCCTACATCCACTCCTCAAGCTTCACTTGAGATTTTTCACTATCCTCTAGCTTCATAGGGGTGCTAACAACCTCTTCATAAATGGAGTAATCCTCCATAGATTTTCTAGCTTCACAGGGGTGTTAGTAATTTCATACACATGGAGCAATCATCCACAGATTTCTCTAGCTTTAAAGGCTTGCTAGTGACCTTTTACAAGATTGAAAATGAGTGCTTTGCTTTCAAAGAAAGCTATAAAAATATCTCTCACAGATAGATATACAATGTTGAAGCTTAGAAGATATAACAGTAACCCGCTCAAAGGTGAATAAGCCTAAAGCTTAAGCTCTGTGTTTAATTTCTGAAGGTGAGTGATGTATCAAGGTTTAAGGAACTCTTCAGATTACTCTAAGGATGAGTTTGAGACTGATGGTAAAATCAAAGAAATTTCTTAGCTCAAGTCTCTCTGATTTTTATGATAACCTCTCATAGGTAGATAAGGTTAAGGCTAAGTGTTTGATTTACTGAACGATGAATGTAAAACTCAAATGAAGACCTCTTCAGATAACGTAGAGAAGATGGAATATGTGAGTGATGCAGGATAGGAAATTTTCTTGATTCGCTGTACACTTATCTGTTTCTGTCTCTCTTTTTATCTTCACTTCACAGAGTTTTGTATGTATAACAGAGCTCGGTGTTTTGTTCTGTCTGACAAGCTCATCCTCTTCTTCTCGTTGAGGAGATAGGATGATGATGGGTGAGATGATGTACAAATGGATGCTCAGTAGTTGTCTCTAGCCCATGTGGGATTTGCCCGTTGAATGATGGATGTCTGATGCAAACCATTCTTTTATCAGTTCACAGAATCTGACAACTCTACACAAGGTGGTCGTCCACCCGAATGTCAACTGTGACCATTTTCTCTTGGTGGTCGTCTGCTCGAACGTCCACCTGGATGACCACTCGGTCGTCTAGTCGAGTCCTAGTCGTGAAGGATGACTACCGTGGTCGTCGAGCATACTGTTGGTTTGACAATCGGTGCAAAACTGAACTGAACAGGAGCGAAACGGGCTGATTTTGGCCTAGCCAGTCGACCACCCAGTGTAATTTCAGGCTCCTTTGTCTTAGCTACTTCTGCTGCTTATGAGACCTCTTTAACACCTGTTTAAGCTTCTTTTTGGCCTTCAAAAACATAGTTAAACACAAAGATAATCATAGATTATAATGATTTAATCAAACAATGAATTTTCAATTATAATCCATTTATCAAAATAAATCAAAACATAATCAAAACAAAATAAAAAACAATTATCAAAATCATGTTATTCATGATATGACTAACAATCTCTTCCATTTTAATGATGACACACAAGGATGTTTTGATTTGTTTGGGGTGAAGAACAACTCCCCCTCAAGGCATGCTCTTTTTACAAAATGACATTCATATTCAAAATCACCTTCATATTCAAAAACATTCATTCTCTCCCCCTGTGACATTATCAAAAACTAAATAAAGAGCTATGGTTCAAGTCACTCTCCCCTTGAGGAAAACATCTTACTCTTACATTATCAACTAATAAGCTCAAAGATCACGTTTGTAAGAATTAAGATACCAAAACAATCAACTCTTTCTCTCTCTCAGTGACATTATCAGCATAATCAACAAGAAGGAGGGAGTTTGGCACTACTCAACAATATAGGATGATGAAAAAACACAAGTCTCATTATAGCACAAATAATCATCCATAACAAGTAAGTTGCCAATTTAGAGAAGAATAAAAAATGGCACACATTGATCATTCAATATAAGCTCATACCATTTGTAATGGGCAAAGAGATAATAATAGAATGAAGGTGCAAGCCCATAAGTTTGATACCAGAAACAAAATACAATCTGAGGGGATTTTGAAAAAGCATTCAAGTTTAACTTAGTTAAAATCTTCCCCTGTTTCATTTGACAAAAGTAATAGGAGGTATGATATATAAAGCTCAAGACAAAAATTGTTTCTCTCCCAATAATGCCAATAGGATAGTAACATGCAATCTAAAAGATTTAACAATCATAGCACAAGTATTATGCAGAATACCAATTATAGCTCATAATAACTTAAACTCATTATAATCTCATAGAACTAAGGTAATTCCACAAATGAAGCATGTCCAAAGCATAATTAGTTCATATGTCAAGAAAATCATGAAATCAACATATAGCATATATTTAAGCATAGGCATGATTTTCTTTCTCCCTTTTTGGCAAGAGCATATTTCTCTTCATTTATCATCAAAGAATATTCATTACAAATCATATGATACATGTTTAAATTTCGTGAACAATCAATCCCTTTCACATCATTGTAATGAAAATATTAGCTCAAAGGATATGAGAGAACATATGAATTTTTATCACAAAAGCTCAAGAGTGTAGGAAACATACCTTTGGTTCAAGAGTTGGAAACTTCTCAATCTTCAATTTCCTTTCACAAACAAGTTAGCTCAAAAGGGGTTTAACAAGTATGTCTAACAAAAGATTTCTCCCCTTAAGTTGGTGCTTCCCTTTTCTATTGTGATCTTGTGCAAATATATCCAATTATACAACAATCACATTCATACATATGAAAAATACAGCACAAAGTAAATGTTGTTCTATATCACCTCTTATCACA